AAAAAAAAAAAAAAAGGGAAAAAAAAATTTTATTAAAAAAAAAAATTCAGACACAAAAAGTCACATGTTATAGGATTCCACTTATATCATTTATATGAAACGTCCGAAATAGGCATAGGCAAATCTATAGAGATAGAAAGTAGATTAATGGTAGCCGGGGGTTGTGGGGAAGGGAGAAATGGGGAGGGATTGCTAAAAGGTATGGGTTTCTTGGGGGGATATGATGAAAAGTTTGTGAAATTAGATTGCGATGATGGTTGCGTAACCCTGGGCAAACACTAAAAACCACTGTACTGCACAATTTATTTTTTTAGACAGGGTCTTGTTGTATGGCCCAGGCTGGAGTGTAGTGGCACCATCTCTGTTCACAGCAACTTCCACCTCTTTGGTTCAAGTGATTCTCCCACCTCTGCCTCCTGAGTAGCTGAGACTACAGGCGCATGCCACCACACCCAGCTAATTTTGGTAATTTTAGTAGAGACAGGGTTTCACCATGTTGACCAGGCTGGTCTCGAATTCCTGACCTCAGGTGATCCGCCCACCTCGGCCTCCCATAGTGCTGGGATTACAGGTGTGAGCCACCGCGCCCAATGTTATTAACATCAACATTATTCCCCATCACAGATGAACTCAGAAATAACAAACCTTTATGTGTCACTTCGGAGTTTACAAGTTTGAATTTCTGCTTCTGGCCATGAGCAAGTATACAACTGAAGTTTACAATAGGGTTCAACAACCTTTTCTGCAAAGGGCCAGGTAGTAAATGTTTTGGACTTTGTGAATCATAGGCTTTCTGCTGCAATGACTCAACTCATGGTTCAAAAGCAGCCATAGACAAGAGTGACTCATGGGCCTGACTGTGTGCCCACAAAACTACATACAGGACCGGATGAGGTGGCTCACGCCTGTAATCCCAGCACTTTTGAAGTCCAAGGCTGGCAGACCACCTGAAGTCGAGTGTTCAAGACCAGCCTGACCAACATGGAGAAACCCCATCTCTACTAAAAATACAAAATTAGCCAGGTGTGGTGGCACACAACTGTAATCCCAGCTAGTGGGGAGGCTGAGGCAGGAGAATCACTTGAACCCAACAGGTGGAAGTTGCAGTTAATTGATATCACACCATTCTGCTCCAGCCTGAGCAACAAAAGCAAAACTCCTTCACACACACACACATACACACACACGAAGAAGAAGAAGGAGGAGGAGGAGGTGGAAGGAGGAGGAGGAGGAGGAAAGGGGGAGGAGGAGGGGGAGGAGGAGAGGGAGGCAGAGAAGATGATGATGATACAGGCTGTGCATAGTAGCTCACTCCTGTAATCCCAGCACTTTGGAAGGCAGAGGCAGGAAGATCACTTGAGCCGAGGAGTTAGACACCAGCCTGGGCAACACAGAGAGAACTCATCTCTATGAAAAATTAAAAAACAGTAGCCAGAAAAAAAAAACGCAAAACAGTAGCCAGGCTTGGTGGTGTACACCTGTGGTTTGCAGTCCTTGGGGGACTGAGGCAGGGGTTATCACCTGAGCCCAGGAACTCGAGGCTGCAGTCAGCTATGATTATGCCTGCCTAAATTTTTACTTTTTGCAGAGATGGGGTCTTACCATGTTCCACAGGCTGGTCTCACACTCCTGGGGCTCAAGTGATCCTCCCACCTCAGCCTCCTAAAGTGCTGGGATTACAGGCATGAGCTACCTCACCCAACCAGTGGCACCAATTAGACTTGATGTCTTTTTTTTTTTTTTTGAGATGGAGTTTCACTCTTCCTGCCTAGGCTGCAATGCAATGGCACGATCTCGGTTCACCGCAACCTCCGCCTCTCAGGTTAAAGCAATTCTCCTGCCTTAGCCTCCTGGCTAGCTGCGATTACAGGCGTGCGCCACCAGGCCCAGCTAATTTTGTATTTTTAGTAAAAACAAGATTTCTCCGTGTTGGTCAGGCAGGTCTCGAACTCCTGACATCAGGTGATCCGGCCACCTTGGCCTCCCAAAGTGCTGGGATTACAAGCGTGAACCACCGCGCCCCAGCCTCCGACTTTATGTTTTTGAACTTGGAAATTCTGTGCACGTTCTACCATGTTCCCTCCCTGAAAATGACAGGGCTCTTCTCTCCTGCCTGGGTGCCCTGATTTTTCTTCTCATCTCCCCAGCAAAGTCGATATCCTCCTATCTCCGTCTCCTCCCCTCTCCCAGGACCGAATCCCCTTTGCTGTGGTAGGAGCTGACCGAGAGCACCTGGTGAACGGGAGGTGTGTCCTGGGCCGGAAGACCAAGTGGGGCATCATCGAAGGTCAGTGCGGGGCCCCTGGGTAGGATTCAGGTGAGGACAAGTTGGACGCCAGAGCAGCCCTGTGCCTTTGGCATCCTTAGTCTCCATCACAGGCCCCTGAAAGGTTAAGCCCACGGAACAAACAGGCCTGGGAAACGGTCCTTCTCTCCAGCTGGGGGGACACGGGCAAGTTTCTGGACTCTCCAGGCCTCAGTTTCCTCCCAGTAGAGTGGGCATCACAGTGGCATCAACTTCCTAGGGTGCTAGAGTGGGAAGTGGCACCATTTGGCACAACGCCCAGTACCCAAGGGTGCCCTAGAGGTTGCCAGAACTTACAATGGGCCTACTGTGTATCGGGCACCGCTATGTGCAGTTCCTGCGGTCCATGGTAAAGGCAGGACTGATGAAGTCCCTGTCCCCATAGAGCTGACGAGACAAGGACAGGTGGGGGGAGGGAGAGGAGACCGCCTCAGGGAGCTGGAGAAAGTGAGACAGGAGGGCCAAGACATAGTCCCTGATGCATTATTATAATTATTAGAAGTATACTATGCTATTTTTTTTTTTTTTTTGAGACAGAGTCTTTCTCTGTCGTCCAGGCTGGAGTGCAGTGGAGTGATCTTGGCTCACTGCAACCTCTGTCTCTAGGTTTAAGCCATTCTCCTGCCTCAGCCTCCCAATTAGCTGGGACTACAGATGTGCACCTCCACACCCAGCTAATTTTTGTATTTTTAGTAGAGACGGGGTTTCATCATGTTGGCCAGGCTGGTCTCAAACGCCTGACCTCAGGTGATTCACCCACCTTGGCCTCCCAAAGTGCTGGAATTACAGGCATGAGCCACTGCACCTGGCCAGAAATATACTATACTATTATTTATGATATAGCACATAGTCATTCCACTCTATTTGCAGGGGGTGGTTCCAGGACCCCCAGAGATACCAAAATCTGTAGATGCTGAAGGCCCACAGTGGGCACCCATGGATACAGAGGCCAACTGTATATATAATACAGTAATGATTTGTGGATTCATTCATTCAACGACTACTTGCAGGAGCCCCCTGTACCAGGCTCTGGGACACAACAGTGAATGAATGAATGAACCAACAAAGAGAAGGCGGGATAGAAGAGAAATGTGGGGAAAGGGCTAAGGGAAATAGTGTCAGGTTGTGCGTACAGTTGGTGCTTACTCAGTGCACACTAAGCAGAGCCCATACTGAGTCCTGTGTCTTGCAGTGGAGAACATGGCGCACTGTGAGTTTCCTCTCCTGAGAGACCTGCTCATCCGGTGAGGGTGTGGGAGCCCGGGGCTGGGGGGCTGGGGGGCTGGCAAGGGGCCCTAGGGACACCACAGTTGGGGCTGACTGCCTCCGGTCTCCCAGCTCCCACCTCCAAGACCTGAAGGACATAACCCACAACGTGCACTACGAGAATTACCGCGTCATCAGACTCAATGAAAGCCACCTGCTGCCCCGAGGGCCAGGCTGGGTGAACCTGGCCCCAGCCTCCCCAGGACAGCTGACCTCCCCCCGGCCCTTCAAGGTCTGCAGGGGGGCCCACGACGATTCTGAGGATGAGTTCTGAGCACCGGCTAATCCTGGGCCCGCAGGGCTTCCTGAGTCCCCAGCGGCCCTCAACACACATCCGTGTATCCGAGCATTTATTAAAACGTGGACCTTGCTTTTTATGAAAAGCTGGGCTTTGAAAACAAAAGGCATTTTGTAAATGACTTCTTTGAGCTACCCACAAATAAAAGGCCGGGTCTCACTCTGTTACCCAGGCTGGAGCAGACTGCCGCGATCATAACTCGCTGCAGCCTCAAATTCCTGGACTCAAGCGATCCTCCTCCCTTAGCCTCTGGGGTAGCCAAGACTACAGGCATGACACCACCTTGATTGGCTGATTTTTAAAATTTTTTGTAGGGATAAGTCTTTGCTAGGTTGCCCAGGCTGATCTTTAACCAACCCCAAGCGACCCTTCCACCTCAGCCTCCCAAAAAACTAGGATTACCACTGCTCCCAACCGTGTATGTTTTTGCTGTTATTTTCGTTGTTGTTTCTGAGATGGAGTCCTTTTTTTTGAGATGCAGTCTCGCTATGTCACCAGGCTGGAGTGCAGTGGTGCGATCTCGGCTCACTGCAGCCTCCACTTTCCAGGTTCAAGCAATTCTCCTGCCTCAGCCCCCAGAGTAGCTGGGACTACAGGCATGGGCCACCATGCCCAGCTAATTTTTGTATTTTTAGTAGAGATGGGGTTTTACCATGTTGGCCAGCATGGGCTCTATCTCTTGACCTCATGATCTGTCCACCTCAGCCTCCAAAGTGCTGGGATTACAGACGTGAGCCACCACACCCAATCTCTGAGACAGATTTTCATTCTGTCACATCAGCTGAAGTGCAAGGATGCAATCTGGGCTCACTGCAACCTCTGTCTAGCAGGTTTAAGCAAATCTCCTGCCTCAGCCTCCCTAGTAGCTGGGATTACAGGTGCCTGCCACCACGCCCAGCTAATATGTGTTTTTAGTGAAGACAAGGTTTCACCATGTTGGCCAGGCTAGTCTTGAACTCCTGACCTCAAGTGATCTAGCTGCCCCAGCCTCCCAAAGTGCTGGGATTACAGGTGTGAGCCACAGCACCCAGCCTTCTTTTTGAAGTAATGTGAGACTCGCCGGGCACGGTGGCTCAGCCCTATGATCCCAGCACTTTGGGAGGCCAAGGTGAGGTCAGGAGTTCAAGACCAGCCTGACCAACATGGTGAAACCCTGTCTGTACTAAAAATACAAAAAAAAATTTAGAAGGGCATGGTGGTGTGCGCCTGTAATCCCCACTACTCAGGAGGCTGAGGCAGGAGAATCACTTGAACCTGGGAGGTGGAGGTTGCAGTGAGCTGAGATGGTGCCACTGCACTCCAGCCTGGGCAACAGAGCAAGACTCCGTCTCTAAATAAATAAATAAAATAATGATAATGTGAGACCCAAGGCCCTAGGAGTCTTGAAGGCCTGGGAAGGCACGCCTTGGACAACCAGCCTCCTGTGCCTGAGAGCCAGACCCAAGTTACAAATCCAGCTCTCTCGTCTGTCCCAGCCCATTACTCCTGGCCCAGGGCTAGGCCCACAGGCCACCAAGAACACTTTCAAAATCCCCAGCTTTGTGGCCTGATCGCTGGCTGTCTTACCTGATCTCCGTGTTCCACCGTCCCCCACCTTCCTCATTTCCCTGCCCCAGGGAAATTTATCTGCCCCAGGGACCAGCATGGCCAGATAACGGCTCCCATTGTGGAGCCTGGCAATGCCGATGTGAAAATCGTGGCAGGCAAGCCAGTTACTTATGCTTCCTGTGCTTCACTTTCCTCATCTATAAAATGGGGATCATGGTACCAAGCACATGGCACAGTTGTTCAGACAAAATGGAATACTCCCTAGGATGTGCCGACCTCAACCTGGAAAAATGGCATGAAGACAGAAGCGGCCTGAACAAGACGGAGCAGCAGTCCAGGGCAGAGGACCTGCTGCAGAATGGGTGAGCTCCATGGCCCAGGGACTCTCCAGAAGGCAGTGAGTAGGTTGCCTGAGGAAGTCAAGGAGGGCTTTCTCTGGGTGTCAGTTTCATCCCTGCATCAAGCCCATGGCAGGTGGACACAGCTGCCGACTGAATAGACCCTGCATTGCCTGCTCCATAGCAATCCGCTGGTTGAATTCACAAACCTACTTTTCCATCCACACCCCAGGCTGACTCCAGGACTGGGGAGGTTCCAGAGCCTGTGGGCATGCAAACCACCCGCGACCAACATCTGAGTTGGCTGAGATACTGGCCCATGTCACAGCACATTCCCAGGTTTAAGATTAGCCCTGGGCAATATGGCAACATCTACGCATTTCAAAAGCACACACCCAGACCCACACGGTGGCTCACGCCTGTAATCCCAGCACCTTGGGAAGCCAAGGTGGACGGATCGAAAGGTCAGGAGTTCAAGACCAGCCTGGCCAACATGGTGAAACCCTGTCCCTGCTAAAGAAATACAAAAATTAGGCCGGATGTGGTGGCTCAACGCCTGTAATCCCAGCACTTTAGGAGGCCAAGGTGGGTGGATCTCAAAGTCAGGAATTCGAGACCAGCCTGGCCAATATGGTGAAATCCGTCTCTATTAAAGATACAAAAATTAGCTGGGCATGGTGGTGCACACCTGCTAGTGGGGAGGCTGAGGCAGGAGAATCTCTTGAACTGGGGAAGCAGAGGTTGCAGTGAGCCGAGATCGTGCCATTGCACTCCAGCTTGGGCAACAGAGCCAGACTGCATCTCAAAAAAAAAAAAAAAAAAAAAACGAAAATTAGCCGGACATGATGTTGTGCACCTGTAATCCCAGCTACTCAGGAGGCTGAGGCAAGCGAATTGCTTGAACCCGGAAGGCGGAGGTTGCAGTGAGCCGAGATCCTGCCACTGCACTCCAACCTCTGAGACAGAGCAAGACTTTGTCTTGTCTAGAAAACAAAAACAAAACAAAACAAAACAAAAAATCACACACCTTTTGGGTCAGCTGCATTTCTAGGAATGCTTCTCACAGATAGACCCGGTTTCTCAACCTCTGCACCACCGCACTTGTGCTGGATCATTCTTTTTCTTCTTCAATTTTTTTTCTTTTAGACAGTTTTGCTTTACCCATAGGTTGGAATGCAGTGGCTCAATCATAGTTCAATGCAGCCTCAATTTCCCAGAGGCGGAGGTTCCGGTGAGCCAAGA